CAAATCGCAGCACCACGTAATCCAAAAGTTCAGCTAGCTCTGATTAAGAGGTCTAAATAATGGGCACAACAATGTTCCTTATGATGGACAAACGTAAATGAAGCGCGATAAAATGACGGCAAACTCACAGCCACACACTGAATCACTCATTTCCGGCTCGATGAGACACAAAACTGTCTCGGCGAGCCATTGCATATACCTACATATACTAAGTTATAGATTACTTAGAAATAAAGTCGCAAACCTTCCAAGCGGCCAGCCGAGCCACGGTCTCAGACATATAGCGCCTCCGTAACATATTCGACGCTCTCACTGTCGTCAGCGGTAGCGATGGCGGCGGCGATAGCAGGGTCGGAAGAGAGGACGCTCGTTTCAGCGGCGGCGATTTCCGTGGGCGGCGGCGGCGCGGTGGTGGGCGGCTCGGTCGGCCTCCAGAAACACTCAACACCGGCCACTTCGTCCACACCACAGTAGGTCCCTCCTTCCAGACACACATGGTCAGACTGGGTTCCGTACCCTCACACTCGAGATCCTCCACCCAGAGGAAGCGGGTCACGTTGCTCGTGCTGGCTGCTCGTGCTCGTGAGTTGACCGTCATCGGATGGCCATAGTCGAACCCCATGTAGCTACAGAGCACAGTGGCATCGGCACCCGTCCAGTTACTGTCGCAGAGGAATGTCCAGTTCTGGCCCGAGTCGTAGGTGAACTCGACGTAGCCGTTATTGCAGCTGTTGCCACCCACTAATCTGAAGCGGTTGGATGCGCCGGAGTGCGGGTCGCAGCGACGCACCTGGCAGACGCCTCCGATACAGGTGTAGATCTTCTGCATGGTGCTACAGTCGCGATCGTAGAGGCATGGACGGCCGCTCGGCACGCCCAGCCGGCAGTGCATGTTGTTGAAGTTCCACGACCCACGAGGACAGACACAGCGTCGGGTGAGTGGTGAGCACACGGCGTATTTCGTGGCCTGTCGGCAGTCGGCGTCTGAAAGACAGTGTTCGGAGAGGCGCGGGAACGGTCGACATTTGCCCTGAATCGTCATCATGTCCGCCGGACAGCGGCAGGTCAATTCCGCGGAACACACCGCGTGCGGTGTGGCAACCTCACAGTGGTGGTCGGTGCGACACTCCCCTCCGAGCCAGGGCGCCGGCAGGCAGGTCTCTCCGGGACCGCGCAGCAGACCACCAGCGCACACACACCGACCGCCGTCTCCGCACTCAGTGTTGGCGAGAAGGTCGGAACACTCAGAGTTGACGCGACACGGTTCGCCAAGTACACGGCCGACCGTTGGGCTGGGACGGTCAGAGGGGTGCGGTCCCGACCTCACACCGCCCGGTTGTGATCCAGACAGGTTGTCAGAAATCTTAGCCAAGGCGGACAACGCCTCTTCCAGCAGCGTCGACTGCTCGTCCAGGCGTTTCTCCAGGCTGGCCAGTCGCTCCTCCAGTTGGGCGGTAGAGGTGGCGGCCGCGTCTCGAGCACGGGACTCAAATTCTGCAGCGGCGGCTTGGACGAGGTCACCGGCACTCAGGTCGCCCCTGCGGACGCGTTTGTGGTAGCCGCTCTCGGTGCTGTGTCCTTGGGCGGAGCTGAGAGTCAGCAGCAGACAGGCAAACAGACGCGGTAGCGCCATGCTGGCAGGAGCAACCAATAACGCTGTATGTTGTGTAGAAGATACCAGCACTGACCTGAGTCTGGCTCAGAAGCCGAAAGGCTGAGCTGGCCCAGAGCAGACGAGAGTTGGTGCACGTGAGACGGCAGAGAACTGAAGCGGCCGAATGAGACGTTCGAGAGCTGTTCAACGGTTATATGGACAACTGCGAGCGCTTCCGGTCAACTTCAACGCAGTTTTAGTAAGTTTTTAGAAGTTCCGATGCATTTTCCAGCTCCTAGTAGTTTGACGCAAATCGAAGATGACTTAAACCCAGCTTCGCCTGATCGCAGATGAATATTTTCCTGTGATTTCAGTGCGCATCCGGTGAGCTTCCGGTGAGCTTCCGGTTGAATTCCGCCAGACACATTGAATTCCACCCGACACACAACAATCACTCAAAGCTTCAAAGCATCCAAATCGGCCTCAAAGCATCTGCTTGAGAACGCAACAAACAAATATTGGCACAAGCTGTTAAACTCGCTGCGTTCACTAACACCAGCCGCTGTTGACTGCGTAATACGCCGCAACTAGTCCGACTCGATTCGGGAATAACGTAAGACCGGAAGGGCGCGAGATAAGGGTCGCGGAGGCAGGGTGGTGACCGTGTAGGTCTGGTCGCGTGGCTGAAGGTCACTGTGTCATTGGGTCAGATATCCAGCGAGGAAGACGCATGACCTCGGAAATGAGTGGTGCAGATGCTAAGGGTAGATGGTAAAAACGCGCCCCCACGGACGTTCGATCGATTTGTCGAAAATGTAATGCCGTTGAAAATGTTCGAACAACGTTTAAAAGTGTTGTCAGAGCATTGCATCCTAATAAGTGTAAAATGTGTTATTAAAACTGTTTCATTAAAAAAACATCGAATACAGTGCAACAGCATAAAACAAGGTACTAACTACTAGCCTATCCAAAAAAAAAACCCTTACAGCCCCCATCCCATCTCCATCGCAGGAGTCATTTCAGCTTCTACAAGTCCTGCGACGACCGATGGAAGAACAGCGTGCGTCACAACCTCTCCATGAACCCGTACTTCCGCAAGGGCTGCAAGGCCGGCAGCGGCGCCGGCCACCTGTGGACGCTGGCTGACGTCGACGGTCGTCGAGTGCGACGCAGCCAGACCGCAGCCAGGATGGGCCGGCCGTCGGGACCGACACAGTGTGCCAACGGCGGTGGAGACAGGGAGAGCGGCGCGGCCGCAGACACGACGGTTAGTGTCGGTAGGGGCGGGGTGGAGTGGCGAGAGTGGGGTACAGTGGGGTAAAAATGTCGTTTGGAGAAAGGCAGCGGAAAGTTGTTCATGGGAATAGAGAACAAAATAAGGAATGCGGATTGTGAGTTTAAAGAACTACATCCGGCTTACGAATGCAATGTTAATTTTGTAAAGCTTACCGCCACCTGCATACAGCTGCGCACCACCGAACTACGAATGGTCTCTCAAACAGGTGCTGGAGCTGAAGCTGTGCGAGGACACACCGTCACCCTCCCAGGAGATCTGGCTAAGTTCCTCTCCACCGGAGGACGAGCAGAGACCGGACAGCCCGCCGGTGGCAGCAGACCCCGGCTTCGTCATCCAGTACTGCACCTTCACACCCGAGGTGAGAGGCACTACGGAAAGTACAGACGAGCAGAGACCGGACAGTCCTCCGGTGGCAGCCGACCCCGGCTTCGTCGTCCAGTATTGCACCTTCACACCCGAGGTAAGAGACACTGCGGAAGGTAGAGACGAGCAGACCAAGCACTGCAGACACTCAGTACTGCACGGTGCACCTTCACACTCGAGGTAAGAGACACTTCGAAACGTGGAGACAAGCAGACCAAGTAGACACTAAGTAATGCACCTTTACACCCGAGGTAAGAGACGCCACAAATCAACGACACCATGAAATGTGTAGGCAGACACCGTGCAGGCCAGAGTTAAGTGCTGCAAGTAGAAAGTAGTGAGTGACCACTCGAAATAGAGCCCTGCAGGGAGGGATACCACAATGAGGGATGAGGATCACACAGACCTTTCATAAAAAAGGTCCTGTTTGTCACTAGTAATCTAGAAGAGATTACGTGTAGACAGATGAAACGACACCGCAGTATCATGACGTGTCATGCCCATGCTATCCCCAGGTGGCTGCCACGGTGGAGCTACCGCTGGAAGAATCCGTCGGCTGTGAGCTGAACAATAACACAGACATCAGCTGCGGAGACGAGCCGAGAGAGACCCAGCTTTTCGACCCACAGTTCAGGAACAGTCTCCTGCCCACGAATAATGGTAAGTTGGATTTGGAACGGTCATGTGCTAAACTTCGGCTTAGTTTTATTTTTGGCATAATTTACATACCTAACTATATCGACAGTTTGAAAAGTAGCATAAACGTGGGATGTCCTAAAATTAAGAAAAAGTCGCTTATATCGTGGTCGAGGTCCTAGAAAACTACAGCGCGGTTGAATAAGTGACTATTTTGGTAAAAAATTAACACTTATGTGAACATTCTGATATCTTCCATTGTGACAATTCGCTTTTCTCGGTTTGTCTTCAGGTCATCTAACTGGACGTCACCAGCAGATGACAGCGGGCCTGTTCTCGTGAGAGTCCATCAGTTGGCGACAGGCTTAACCAAGTGTTTACTCCTAACGGAACCAGCATTCCGTGGATCTCTTCTAATAGAACCAGACTGTCAGTTGCCAGCGCCAGACCTCGCCGAGCTGTGCGAGTCCTATCCCATCCAGTCGGCCGCGGCTTCCACAGGCCACGCTAGTAATAATGTATATTCCGTCCTCATGGAACCCGTCCCATGACTATATGCAACATATGAACCGTCCAGTAACTACATAAATGATCCGTCCAAGTATGTCCTATTTGATCCGTCCTGCTAGGACGTGCTTAGAAGTACGAAAATCCGCCCTACAGTAACCATGCCGATTGGTGTTTATGTACATAGTCAGAGGTGAAACTGAACGATATTCAAGCATGAAGCTAAGTGACATACATAAATACGATCGTTATACGACAGAAACACGATCATGACGTATTTCAATAGCATCAGTTTCATTTTACCCAGTAAATTTGTGAATAATATTTTTGCAGTTTAGTTTTGTGGTATACAAGTGCGAGGATATGATGGAATATAGTGTGCATAACTATGTAGAACGAATGAGGCAATATGGGTGCGGAGATGTGGAAACGATCTTCTTAATTTCCTTCGCTTCTGAATTTGTGTGTCATGCGTAGGGCGTAAGAAAATAAGATAGCAATACGTAAATAAAAAATATCGGAAATTGTGTTTGGCCTTCGGAGAGTGGTGGAAAGAAAAGCATTTACAGTTAGGAAATGATGTAAAAATCGACACCCAAGAAATAGCTTCGTACTTAGTGCTACTTTATTATGAATTGACAATACGATCGATATCGTAACACTCACGTCAAAATATAATGACTTGATTACATAATCAACACAACACCAATAACCCATGAGGCAAGACGAGTAATACGGTTTCCGAATCCGATGCACGCACAGCACTCACATGACACTACAATCTGACTTCACTCGTGCACGACTATGCCCTACTCAAAATGGGGGACAATGAACACCCTTCCGACGCTCCGACTCGATCAAATGAAGTGTCCAAGCCTACTGAACCGACCCTAGTATTCTCCATCAATCTGCAGTGTTCGGGGAGGCACCAATCACCAGTTACTTGCGTGATTACCACGACTCAATCACCATACCGGACAACCGCGCGTAGCCTCAGAGGACGACGTAGACGCACTTTGTTCACCAAAGTAGAACACCTTCCAGTGGCGATGAAGCGTCTCAGAATTCTACGCACCGTGTGGCGTAGAAGTGCGTTGCTGGACTCGTAAGCCCACCCCGCTTCCTACACCACAGTGCTATTCGTGTACCCATTGGCTGTGTATGTAGCCAACAGTACCTGATGGATGGCCACCACGCTGTACTCAGCTGGACGTACTCAGCTGTTCCCTGAGGAGTGGCGTTCAGCGTCCGCCGCCACCGCCGCCCTGCTGGGGCGGGTCGGAGCCCCCAGAGACCATCAGTAGCAGCACGGCCGGCACGATGTACATCCACTGCCGGGGAAAGACGGATAATACGTCAGGATGAGATGCCTCTGAGGTAACTAGGACGTAACGTGACATCAATTCAGAGGGAGAGGTAGCGTAGAGGTTAAGTCAGTGGCTAAGGTGTGGGCCTGTGGCGTTAAACTAGTGATGTGGCATATGACAAACGTAGAAATGTGAAAAAAAAACACGGCTTAAGATGGAAGCACTGGACGTCATGAGAAGTTTGAAGACGTGTACCAACTACCATAACAGGGCTAACGCGCCACTCAGGGCGGCGGGCGCTTGGGGGGACGATGCACTCACGTATTTGGCGATGAAGGACCGGTTGTCCTTGGTCTCTCCGCGCTGTTTGGCTAGCTTCTCCTGCTCAATCTTCTGGATGAAACTGGCCGTGTCAGGGCTGCAAAAAGTCATTGCCGTAAGTAAGACCTTCACACATTGTCTGCCTTTTGTTGACAAGCTCGTGTCGGATCGTTGTAATAAGCAACTTTAATATTTGCTTCTGTATACATAGCTGCATTTCCCATTGAAGCTGGGTGGTATCTGGGTGCTAGCGGCATTCTACGATACCTAAGCTGCTCCAACTAAACCCAAGCTGTTTCGCGAAAACCACGATCCACCCTTTCTGCGCCCGCCCCGCTTACATGGGTCCCGGCTCCGTTTGCCGGATGGTGACGTCCGTGTTGAAGCCGTGCAGGCCGTCGAGCGCCGCCAGACTGTCGCCATGGCAACGGCCGGCGTCCGTCAGCTGACTAGCGGCCACCAGACTGCCGGCTGCGTCCATGGTAAGCAGCAGCGTGTCGCGAAGGCCCGACTCCGCCAGGTGACACTGCAGACAGATAGACATTTGTCAGCAATCGGCTGAGACCGGGGAATACCTACACGCAATCCTGGGAGCTCATAGAAGCGCAAAAAAACCATGGTCAGCCACTCATTGTTTTGAAGTGTCCCTACGGGAAGTGAAAACGCTAAAATAGTAGGGCGCTTGGTCCGAAGTTTTTTTCCGTATTCATTTAACGATTTATGATCTTGGAGCAGTCCTGACATCTTCTTACACTATATTTCTTGCCCGATAAAAAGGCATGCTCTCGACATATGTAATCGAGCATTTAGAGTGACATGTGAAACGATATCCGCGGTAAACCATGTTACCAGCTTGACGATAACATACGTTCAGCGGTTATATAGCCTTATTGCGACACAATGTAAAAAAACATACTGCTTTGACGAATGTGGCCACCTCCGTTTTACGTCCGTCCAGTGACTGGGCTGTCAGTTTCAGGCGATATATGCCATCGTTCTCCACCAAAGTCTGTAAACCAAAAGGCAGGAGGTTAATCTCGTCAAAAACACCGCGATTTTACGCGTAGGTAATGTCACTGAAACTAAAACATACCGGCTCATATACCGGTTAGCATAATACTATTGACGAAACTTAGTGACAGAGGTTATGTCGTCTTTCCTTCTATAACTGGCCTGTCAAAAGCTCTGCCCGCACCGCAATCCCCGAATCCCACAGATGGCAGCACCGGGCACATTCCCACCTTGAGCTGGGCCAGCTCGGCCGAGGAGAGTGCGCCGGTGGGCTGATAGGTGGCACTGCCTCCGCTGCGTAGACTGCGCACGCTGATCGCTCCGCGCGGTGTGAACACGCCCCGAGGCGACGGGTCTAGACTGTGCAGTACAGATACAGTCAGCTGGCCGTCCGAGTCGTAATCGCCGCTACAGACTGTAGCCTGTCGGTAGAATAGAGAAGAGGGGAGGGGTCAGATTGGCCCGCATGGATACAGTCAGTTCGCCATCCAAGCCAAGTCTCAGCTAAAAACTACAGATTGTTGGGAAAATACGGGGTTGTCGGAAGGTGCAGCTGGCCGTTTGAGTCCCAGTCCCTGCCACAGACTGCAGCCTGCAGAAAGACAAGGGAGGGGTGAGGGGTCAGACCAGTACAGACAATATGGTCAGTTGGCCATCCAAGTTCTTGCCCTGCTATAGATTGAAGCCTGTTGGCAAGGGGTGGTCAAACTGGCTGGATGCTAGACTGCAAAACATCAGTAACAAAGGGTGTGTGTGTGGGGGGGGGGGGGTACAAGAATGGCTACTTCAAATAAGGAAAAGTCATCACATGTCATCACATCAAAATTTTTCACTGGCTTGTTTTTCATCAACCCACCAGTGAGATGAGCACTGGCCACTGGGCACTGGCCAGGTCAAGTAGTTGGTCTGCAATGTCATTCACAACAAGCACTGATTTATTAATATTATTATTATTTCATATTCCCACTAACCACCATTCGGTGGGCATATAAGGGCACTTGGTCCCACAGCTGCCCATTCAACCATTCAAAAATGTATTGCAGACAACAGTTTGCGCTGATGAAAGCTTCATCGGACACGTTTTCCGACTGGCAGCCAGGGCAGTGTTTCACAACAGGGCGCTGCAGTGCCCTGCGCGTGTTAAGTTTTCATGGCAATTGGCAATATCAACAAACTTCACTCTTGACGCTAAGCTATGACGTCATCGCAAAACGCTAGAGCGCTGCGGCACCAGCGCCAGCAGCAGGCTAGCAGTATTCACACTCAAACCTCTGTTCTTGGCCGTTCTTTGACCATTTTGACTTCTGTTCCCAACGTGATTTATTGTAAGCTAACAGATCACATGCGACATCATTCAAGTGACACTATTGTATGCCTTAGCTCCCAGCGTGCTGCAAGTGCAGTGCGCACAGCGCATAGCGTAGAGACGATGAAACCGGGTCCAGAGTGCCAATCTAAAGGCATCACCTGTGGAGAATAATAATATCTATCAAAGACGGATTATGGAACCCACCAAGAGAAGGAGTTGAGACAGCAAGACCAACGAGTGATTCAGGATTCTGTCAACCGTCATTTTGATATTGCAATTTAACTTCGGGAAGAGGAAAAGCCAAGCAATAACTGTCTTCAAAGTCCACACACCACCGAACTTGTACCGAACGAGATGTTTTTAGCAATTATTATTTTTGTCTATAAACACTGACTTCAACTTTGATGACAAAAATATCATCACAGGAACCGGGCTCCCAGGCAGGGCAAAAACACAAATAGTTTCGAAAAATCATTTTAAAACAATTTTGGTGACGTCATTAGATTGAAATAAAACGGGCAACTCAAAAAGTAATCATGCTCTGGCTGGTGTGTTTTAGATGTAAAGCTAAAGTGAAATGACTTGAGTTTCTCTTAAATTAGCTAAATTTGACCTAAATTTGACTCTTTAAAACAATTTTTCAAAGAAAAAAATATTAACGAATTATCAGACTCCAGGGCAAGTTACAAACTGTTGACGTCAAAAGAGAAACAAGATCCAGCAACAGGCTTAGTTCAATCGATTCATTACTGACGCAGCTGCGACATCTCGAGTTTTTAGGATTTGTTCTTTCGTGTTGGTTTTTCATTTTTCGAAACGCCAGAAGCAGGATTCGGCCAATTAAATTGATGTGGGATCTGGTTTACTTGTATGTGGGATCTTAAATTTCTCGCAATTTAACCATTTTTTGTCTAAGAACTACCTAAGTACTTGTAACAATGTAGCTGCTTACAATAACTTTTAAATGGAAAAGTTGCTTTTGTCAAATTTAGAGGAGCTTTTATAGAACAAATTGGTCTATTGAGCAATGAAGACGAAACTCACAAGTGATGCTGACAGCTTTGCCAGAACGCTTTTCCCGTCTTTTTGTACAAGTTATTATCACACGCCACGCGCGATCTAAGAACTAGGTAGGTACTAACAACGAAAAAAAGTTTCAAGGGGCAGTTGTGCTAGAATTCAACTTGTATATTTAGATTTTTGTAAGTTCGGACGTGACACCAACACGTTTCCTATGCGTGGATGGAATCACTGGCGGTCCAGTGGCGGATCTAGCCGTTTTCAAAGGTCGGGGTATCCGAAGGTTATCAATGACAAAATTTCCCGCTTTTCATCTACTTGGATTAATTGGGATCGGAAGTGAGGATTTATTGACTTATCTTGCAATGCTTGCATGCATGTCGTCATTTTTGTGAATTGCAGTCCTGAGGAGATTTTGAAAGGAATTTGATTTGGAAAGGGGGAGCATGTTTCGGCCGCCCCTAGCCCCGACTTTGGCCTGGTTGGCCCCCCTTCTGGATCCGCCAGTGGATGCCAATGGAATGCTTGCTTTTCTAGTATTTATTTTTCCTTTTTACATTTAGGGAATTTTGTCTCTGCAATAGTACCTAATTGTCAATCCCGATTCCCACTCCAAGACCTGTCCGGTCAAAATTTTGTCCAACATTTTTTCATCGGACAGTTTTTGTGTGCAGATTTTTGTCTAACTTTTTTGTCTCCCATTTCTTCGCCTACATATTTTTGTCCATACATTTTTTTGTCCAATAAATTTTATGTCTGTGCATCCACTGTTACAACTCCAAGGTTGAGTAAAAACAAAACATACTAAAAATGTTATTCAACTTGAATTGTGAGGCAAGGCAAGTGACGTCATAATCAGGGCTGCGGAGTCGGAGTCGGAGTCGGTCGGAGTCGACAGTTTTGACCGGAGTCGGAGTCGGAGTCGGAGTCGATTTTAGAAACCCGAGCCGGAGTCGGAGTCGGAGTCACCGAAAATCTGTCGACTCCGCAGCCCTGCTAGGTCTGCGGAGTCGGAGTCGGGAGTTGGAGTCGGTCGGAGTCGACAATTCTGCCCGGAGTCGGAGTCGGAGTCGGAGCTGGTTTTTGAAAGCCGGAGTCGGAGTCGGAGTCGGAGTCGCCGAAAATCCATCGACTCCGCACCCTCATAATAATACTCGGGGTGAAATAATGCAGTGCCAAAGGCAATGCTTTAGGACTAGGAGAGATTACTGGCAATGGTAAGTCAAATATTTTAGGTTAACCCGCGCCCGGCTGGGGGCCCTGGATATCCACGCCCTGCTGAGGGCCCCCTTCTAACTCGGCTCCTGGGCCACGTAGCGATATGCGGCAGGCGGCGTTTGAAAGAGCGCCAAAAATTATGACGAAATCACTTAGGTCACTTTTTTGGTCAGAGGCCAGTTTCACCAACAAAAAATAGACGGCTGCGATTATTTTTTGACAAAACGATAGTCTCAAAATGTCATTTACTGCTGAAAATACTAATCGCTGACTTGACACTTGTAACAACTTAGCTTTCAAGTGTTATGTTATTTGGTCAGCAATTATTTTTTCACCTGTTAATAGGATTTAAAGACTATCATTTTGTCAAAAAATAATCGCAACCGTCTATTTTCTGTTGGTGAAACTGGCCTCAGGTCAAAGTTCAGGTCACCAGAGGTCATTGAAGGCAAAAATTCGCCGATTTTCAGGTCGAATGTCGACAATTTCCAGGAAGCCAATGCATAACTCGGAAACCAATAGAGCTACAGCGCCGCGGAAAAGCGCATTCGATAGCCCTATTAACGCCCTTTCTGAATAATTCTCTCAGATTTGACCTAACGTCAACGATTTTGCCTGCAGGGGGCAAAAACGGCAAAAATAGCCGATTTTTTCGGAAACAGTTTTTCCGCAATAACTTTTGACCCAAGCCTTATACGAGCTTACTTTTACCGGCATCGTGTTCCTCTCGTCAAGACGCATCAAATGAACTGTAACTTGACCTTGAAAGGTCAACTTGAAAATTTGACCTCAGGTCAAGGTCATGACCTGACCGGAAAGGGTCATGTTGCATATCAGTCGATCTGTATCGTCGAGCTGAACACATCTAAGGCGTTGTCACCACTCTAGCATGCCTCTATCAAAAGTTATTTGCGAAAAACTGTTAGACACCATTCATGACCTGAGATGACCTCAGGGGCATAAATAGGGGTCACGGACACCATTTTCATGTTCAGTGTGTCTAAACCATTTGTAATTCAGTGTTTGAAGTGTTTATAATGTCTTTCGTCTAAAAGAGGCGCATATCAATTTTCTCCCATTGACTTATACCTAATGGGGAGGTCGCAAAATTGACCTGACCTTAGGTCACCGATATCAAAATTCCGAGATACACATTTTATAGATACTATTACCCTTTTCAATCGCTGAAAGTTTCAAAGCGATCGATCACTCAGTGTAGCTATGGCAGACATTGAAACTTTTTATGAGGTGAGGTCACTTCAAGTGACCTGGTGACCTGACCTTGAATGACCTTGGTCTGAAATTTTCCTAACAAGTGTAGAATTGATGTATGATAAGGTGTACCAAAAACGGCGGCGCGGGTGTTCAACCCCCCCCCCCCAGCAGGGCACGGGTTAACCCGCGCCCCGTAGGGCTACCGGCGGACCCTACCACCCGTAGGGGGGGGGGGGGCCGTTTCGCCCCCCCTAAGATCTCGGAAAGTTACCGGCCGATTTTCAAAATTCAAACGGCGTTCGATAGCCCCACCCGGGAACTACCTTGTGACCAAATTTCATTGACCTAGGTCAAACCGATGACGTCACAGGTCAGGTCAAAGGTCAGATTTTCACCGTTCACAGGCATTTCAAGAAATGTGTTGTGAAATCGAGTTAATTGGTAATTTATTGAAAACCATCGATGGTACATTGTTCGTCAAACACATACTTTGCTATCTGAGGTCACTGATACCAGGTCAGGTCACAGCGAGGTCAGGTCACCGGGGTCACAACATGAAAGTGTCGTGTGATACATGTTTTATGGTCCATTTTACATGACAAATGCGATTATGTGGGTTAGGCAGCCTTTGGGGCCAGCCTAGGTCACGTTTTGGTGAAGGTCAGGTCAAGGTCAGGTCAAATAAGGTCAAATTTCAAAGTTGATATTTTTGCATAAAATGGGTATCGATTCGATGCAGCTCGTCACGGGGAGTCTAATGGTGGTCTTTGTTTTGCTCTACGAGGTCTAGAACTGCCAAAAATTGAGTTTGAAAATTTGACGTCATCAATTTTGAACAGTTTTTTCGCTATAACTTGGCCAAAAAACGAGGTATCGATCTGAAATTCGGTATGTAGATAGAAGACGGTAGGTACTATCACATATATTCCGTTTTTTTTTTGAAACTCAAAAAACTTTTTTGATTTTTTGGCTAATATATCCAAAAAAATGTTTTTTTGATTTTTGGGGTTCAAAACTCAAAAATTTCAAAAATCCGAGATAACAGTTTTGTAGCCCTGTCAATTCTACACCTTTTATGTCTTGATCATTTTTCTGTATCTTCAAAGCTGTAGGCCTGACAGGTCTTCTCGCGAAGGTCTTTTTTCGGTCGAAAATGACAGAACATGACGTCATTCTGACGTCATTTGTGGCCAACCTATCATAGCCTCTGGAAAAATTTTTGATCACAATGTGTAAAATTGATGCCCGGAGGGGTCCTGAAAGTTTGGTGGCGATATCTGAAGCGGTTTAGGAGATATCGACCGAAAAGGACAGGGGGGGGGGCCGTTTCGGCCCCCCCCTACGGGGCGCGGGTTAAGTGGTTGTGTATCTGGCTGTAGGCCTGAAGCCAAGGTTAGGTAAGGTTTGGTTATGTTCTAACCATTCTGCTCTTTGTGTATTTGCCATCCCACCCAATGTTTCCCTTTTACTATTTTTTGTTTCTTCTTTCCTTTTTGGACAAAGAATATCCAGGGAAGTGTTTAAAAAAAATCGTTGACGAAAAAAATGTCCAGACAAAAAATGCACAAACGAAAAAATATACGGACGAAAAAATGTACAGACGAAAAAATGCGAGATGAAACAAAGTCAGTCGAAATTTCGGAAATCTGCGGACGAAAAATTGTCCGACGAAAATCTGCTAGACAAAAAAAAAAACGTTATGGAATCCGCTGCAATCGCCATGCAATGATGGCTAAGAGCAATGATTTTGTTGGGAACAATGGTGTTAGGCAGTGCTTATTGTTGCAGATGCCATCTGGTCTTTCCTGAACCTAATTTTGAATCAAGGTTTGACAATTGACAGTGCTTTCAGTATCTCATACTCAGAAATCTGCAAAGTACGGCAATTTTATTGGCAACAAAGTCTTGACAATTTCAACAAGATCTCATCGATGCGAGCTTCTTCGGCTGGTGCAGATTTAGTGTGGTGCGGACTCAGCTTGGTGACAGACATGAGGTGAGGTAGATGAGGAAAGTTGAAAAAAACATTGTTGGAGTTTCGACATTCATTCAGCGTGATCTTAGGCCTAAACGAGTGTGCGTTGGTCAGAACAGACTATGCCAGCGCCCGCGCTGGTGGTCCCATTGA